GTTACGTCTGAACCCACTTTGCTTCTTCAAGCTTTGTTTCCATTAGAACTCAAAGTGATGAAACCTCTACTTCAAATGGGAGCATTGCCTCCATGCCATATACTAGAGAGAAAGGGTTTGCACTTGTTGATGTATGTACATGAGTGTGATAGCCATGTAAAGAGAAGGGAAGCATTTCATGCCAATCTTTATATGTATTCACCATTTTTTGAATGATTTTCTTAATATTCTTATAGCAGCTTCAACGGCTCTGTTCATCTTGGGTTGATATGGTGAGGAATTATGATGCTCGATCTTGAAGTCATCACATAACTCCTTCATCATTTTGTTATTCAAATTAGACCCATTGTCCATAATGATTCTGCTTGGAACCCCATATCTTCATATGAGATTCTGCTTGGAACCCCATATCTGCATATGAGATTCTGCTTGATGAATCGAGTGACCACTTAACTTGTCACATTTGTGTAGGATTCCGCTTCCACCCATTTGGTGAAGCAATCAATGGCAACTAGTACGAACCAGTGTCTGTTAGATGCTTTTGGTTCGATCATTCCTATCATGTCAATTCCCCACATCAAAAATGGCTAAGGAGAGATCATGACATTCAGAGGAGTTGGTGGAACATGCATTTTATCGGCATAGATTTGGCATTTGTGACATGTCTTTGTATAATGATAACAATCGACTTCCATTGTCCGCCAATAATAACCTGCTCACAGGATTTTTCTAGCCATGACATGTACATTTGTATGTGTTCCAAAAGTACCTTAATATATTTCTTTTATACGTGTATCTTCTTCCTATTTCTCCACGCACCTGAGTAACACCATGTAGTAGTTTCTTTTGTACAATACGTCACCACTCAAAAAGAATTTTGAGGCTAGCTTTTGCAGAGTTCGTTTGTCAATGACAGAGGCATTTTCTGGATATTCTTGTTTCTCAAGGTACTTCTTGATGCCATAGAACTAAGGCTTGTCATTTTTTCCTTCTTCAATGGAAAGACAATGTGCATGCTCTTCAAAATGTCTAATCGTAATATGCGCTTCAAGATTTGGCCAAGTTACTTTGCACATGGCTGATAAAGTTGCCAAGGCGTCTGCCATCTGATTTTCTTCTCGCGGGATATGAATGAAGGTAATCTCGGTAAATTCTGTAGCTAGTTTCAAAACATGATCTTGATATGGAATTAATCTGGAATGTTTAGTGTCCCATTCATCGTTGACTTGGTATATGACCAGTGCTAAGTATCCAAATACTTCTAGATGTTTGATTCTTAGATCGATAGTAGCTTCTAGACCCACAATACAAGCTTCATATTCGACGATATTGTTGGTGCAATCAAAACATAACCTTGCAGTATAAGGCTTGTGAAAATTCTTCACAGAAGTCAAACAACGCCAATGTCGTACCCCAGTGCATTTGAAGCCCCGTCAAACATGAGTGTCCAACGTGCCCCTAGTTTAAGTCCTTCATCAGGCCCTGGTATTTCGTAGTCACCTATAACCATGACATCTTCGTCTAGAAAGTCGAACTTCATTGTTTGATATTCTGGTAATGGCTGATGAGCTAGATGGTCAGCTAGTACACTACCTTTGATGGCCTTTTGAGTAACGTATTGGATGTCATACTCTGATGGTAACATCTTCCATCGGGAAATCCTTCCTATAAGAGCTAGTTTTTTGAACACATAATTTAAAGGATCCATTCTTGCTATTAACCACGTGGTGTGAGTTAACATGTATTGCCTCAATCTTCTAGTAGCCCAAGCCAATGAACAACAAGTCTTCTTGAGAAGTGAGTACCTGGTTTCGCAATCGGTGAATTTCTTACTGAGGTAGTAGATTTCATGTTCTTTTCTTCCTATTTCATCATGTTGTCCCAATACACATCCCATTGACCCTTCAAGGACTGTCATATACATGGATGAGCAGTCTTTCAGGAACTTGTGGCATCCAGATTGGTGGTTCTTGTAAATATTGCATTATTGTCTCGAAGGCTGTCTAACAATCATCATTCATACCAATGTCTGATCTTTTCGGAGTAATTTGAATATAGGCTCGCACGTAGCATTTAGGTGAAATATTAACCTTAAAATGTAATTTAGCCATCCTAAGAAACCATTAACTTCTTTTTCTATCCTCAGAGCTGGAATTTCTTGTATGGCTTTTACCTTGTCGAGGTCTACCTCAATATCATTGACTTATAATAAAACCCAACAACTTGCCTAACCTGATACCAAATGTACACTTGTTTGGGTTCAACCTTAGTTTGAACTTTCGCATACGCTCGAATAGATTTTGTAAATGTATGATGTGATCCTCCTCTGTATAAGACTTGGCAATCATATCACTTACGTACACCTCAACTTCTTTGTGAATCATATAATGGAGCTGTGTGACCATAACTCGTTGATAAGTTGCCCACGCGTTCTTCAGACCGAAAGGCATCACCTTGTAGCAGAAAGTGCCCCACGGAGTCATGAAGGTAGTCTTTTCCATATCCTCGGGTGCCATTTTTATTTGGTTATAACATGAGAAACCATCCATGAACGAGAACATCGAAGCTTGAGCTGTATTATCCACCAAAACATCTATGTGAGTGTAGCGGTAAAATCAATGAAGTCGCCACCGAGTATTTATTTATCCCATATAAATGGTAAGTAAAATCATCAAAGAAAAACCTAAAAGGAGAAATCAAGGTCTTGCGACCGAGAGATCGGGTATGGGAGTCGATTACGCGAGGGAAAGGTATTAGCACCCCTCACGTTTGTAATACTCTATGGGATCCACTCTTGTTGTTCTAATAAAAGGGTGTGTTAAATCTAATGCTTAATAGCTAAAATAAAATGCAAAGGTGGAATGCATGCAAGAGAAAACAAACACGAGGAAAAGAAGGAAATATTTACAAATTTTCGCTTGGTAGAGCCTCGTGACCAGATGCATATGTATCCCTTTTAAGGAATCAGAGCGTCGTAGTTCGGCTTACAAATTTTTTTTGTTTTGTATTTTTTAAATAAACAATGTTAAACTCAATCATTCCACCACCGCTCGACCATTGGAAACTCACGCACTATAGTGGAAAGGAATCAACACATTCTTAGAAGAGAAAAGTTGAATGGCGAAAAGAAATGAATTGGTTGGTGTTTTTTTTTTTACAATGGAAAGGATTTTTGTGTGTTTAGCATGTTTTATACATTTGCCAAGAAAAATAAGTTTTAGTTTTAAATGCAATTATGTAAAATGAGAAGAAAAACACCTAAGGGAGACTAACCTATCTCTAACCTAGTGTTGTCATACAATGATGGCCCTATGTCAAAGTGAAAAGGGAAATCTTTACCCTATGTTAGCATGCATAAGTAATTATCCTAATGTCTAGCTCGAAAGTTACCCTAATTGAGAGATCCTGAGGGGACATGCAAAGATCCAAGTCGTTATCTCAATTCTAATTGAGTGACATCATCGATCATCAACAAATGAAAGGGAAAACCCTAAGGGGAGCATGCAAAATATCGCAGTTGTTATCTCAATTATAATTGAGTGACATCATCGATCATCAACAAAGGAAAGTGAAAATCCTAAGGGGGGAATGCAAAAGATCGAAGTCATTTCTCAATTTTAATTGAGTAACATCATCGATCATTAATAAAGGAACGTGAAAATCATAAGGGGAGCCTGCAAAATATTGAAGTCGTTATCTCAATTATAATTGAGTGACATCATCAATCATCAACCCATGAAAACAAACACAGACACAATTAGCATACAAGTGCAAATGCCTGATACAGGTCTTTAACCAGCGACTTCGAGCGCACACTCTTTATGATCCTACTTCTAAAGATATATAGAAAGCATTAAAATGCGGAAAGGTAAATTGGAAGCAATATAATACCAAACAAACAATAATGTCCTCAAAAAGCACAACCAAAGGAAATAAACCCGGAATAATTCACGTAAGCTGTATAAGACTCAAATCTAACAGAGAAGGTCTGTTGCCTCTTTAAAGCGTGTGAGATAAGAAAGCTCTACCGAAAGCCTCCTTGAACTCTCTTGATAAATATTATGCTCTTAGCTTGCTTCAAAGACTCGTACTCAAAAGCTTGCAAATCCTTGTGGAATTCGTACCAGTAGTCAACCAAATTAGTACCTGAGCATCTCATATCACAAAATATCGTCTCAATATTCTATCACAAAATCTTGGCTAAAAATGGCAACATGGATGATTACTAAACATGAAATAGTAAAAAAAAACTCTAATTAAACATCTAAAGAGAAATTATAAAATCAATGAGCATATCTACTATTTTTGTATCTCTTTTATAATCAAAGTTATGAGAAGAATATAATAAGAAAAAAACAATTAAATATAAAACAGAGGGGTGTTGAAGTCTGGATTAGGTGTGTGGTGTAGCAAGGGTGCTAGGCTCATTAGATGAGGTCCAATGGCAGGTTTTTATTGCTTCCAATGTTTCAAAAAAATGGCCATGGGCCTCCTTGAAATATGACTCGGTCCACCAAGATATCACACCTACATCCATAATCCACTCAAATATTGTTTAATTATTGAGTTAAAAGTTAAACAGTAATGAATTAAATAGTATAATATGTTTAGAAAGGGGTTAGGGTTAAGAAAGGGAATAACGGTTGAAATTCCATGAGCAACATATTTTCTCCCTCTCTTCTCTCACTTGCAAATGGAGGCGACAACTTTCATCCTCCTTCGTCACTTCCGCCGATCACGGCGTCACAGATGGACTCCTTAACCTCTTACGAATGGTGGCGCATAATGCAAGCTCACTTTTGATTCTTGATTCTCTGTTTTCCCCAACCTTCCATCCGCTTCTACATCATCACCTTGAATTCCAGGACAACACCATATGTTCTCACCTTTGATTAGTTTCAATCTCCGTTAATCTTCCTAACTCTAACTCGAACTCTGAAAACCCTAGGTAGAGGATCAAGGAATTAAACAGTAACTTCGCACGATTCCAGTATGAAACAATGGGGGAAATGATCATGGAGGTTCGCTCTGCATGCTGGTATCAGGGAACAAGAGAACGGTTTACTTCTATAGTGGCAAGTACGGTGGCTCCGACGGAAGTTCTTCAGGTATGCTTGAGCCTCGTTAATGCTCTTTTTCTTCTACTCCTTCTATGCTTCTTCCGATTTTTGCGAACATTTCTCCGTGTGGTGGAAAATTTTGAAACTATGATGATGTTGTTATTTTTGTTTCTATGTTTATGCAGGAGATAAAGATTTCGGTTGCAGAATCGTTGATGTTACGAATTTGAAATTTTTGTGGTGATGATGATGATGCGCTTCCGAAATTGAAGGTTTATCGTTAAGATTGAAGCTTGGGATTATTGATGAAGATTTGGTTATTGAAAGTTGCAGATTAGTGAAGATGCAAGTCAGTTTCTTGAAGGTTGACGATGATATGATGAATAGATAATGATTGGAGAGAGCGAAGCTTCCTCTGATCAATATTCTGGTGAGTTTATTGTAACTGATCTTCCTTTGGAGTTTTTCTGTGAGGTTTTGAATCGTGATTTTCTGTGGAGTTTTCTGGTGATTCTTCAAGTGATGAAGAATGGTGAAGAGGAAGGTGAGAAGATAAGAGAGAGTTTGATGGTGATTCTTCAGAGAATGAAGAATTGATGAAGATGATGGAAGAATTATACTCAACAAGGAGAGTGAAGAGAGAGGTTCTTGAAGAGTTTGGTGATTCTCTCGGAAAAATGGAGAATGCCCTATGTTGTACCCCAAAATTTTCCCTCTCATGTTTTCAAAGGTCTTCCCTTACATGGTTGGTCACAAACATTTGCCTAACAAAAATAAAGTTTTTTGAAGATGAACAAAGTGTCTTTCGATTGGCATCTGGGAAAAGTCTTCTATTGGGTATCTAAAATACTTCGATACAGGCTTGACTCACCAGTCTTCAATTGGGCATTTGGCACTCTTCGATCAGGCTTTGATTAGTAAGCTTCGATTAGGTGTTTGGAACCCTTCGATCAAGCTTTGGTGTGCAAGTCTTCGATTGAGCGCTGGACCCCTTCGATCAAGTCAATTTCACAATGCTTCGACTAGTACTTCAGAGGGTCCTTCGACTGGAACTTCATACTTTACCTCAATCAGAACATCAGAACGAAATGACCTTCGAATGGCATTTCAGTGCAGAGTTTCTATTAATCTAAGATGCTCTGATGAAGGAAGTTCTGGACACTTCGAATCGGAACTTAGACTCATCACAAGGCCAAGGGCTGGTCTAAGTTGTCTAATAGGGAATGTTCTAAATAGATTCGAATTGGACTTGGAAGCTGGAAAAGAAGGCAGGTTCGAAGGAATGAAGTAGGCTGGCATGACTAAGCAAAAACACATATCCTAACCTGTCCAGGTTCACCCAAAGTTCACAATGGCATGTGTCCCTTGCAAATATAGAAATAATTAAATGCTGATTGTGGACTCAATTATTTGAATTAAAGGCCAGATTCTTGCCTTGTTTGCTCCCAACCCTACAAGAGCTGATTCGACCAGGGTGATCCTTTTCGAATTAAGCAATCGAAGTAGAGGAAGGCTCAATCGAAGGGGCTATGCAATTGAAGCTGGAGTAATTCGATTTGGGACTTTGAAGCTATCAAAGAGAAGCATTCAAAGGGTCATTCGAAGAACATTCAAAAGGTCAATTTGAAGAAGCAATTTAGAAGGCCCATTCGAAGGGCACATAAGAAGTCCATTCGAAGGGGCATCTCAAGACCAATCGAAGAGCATGGCCTGGAGGCATTCGAAAATCAAAGGTGTCCAGGTTCATTCAAGATTCCAAAGAGACATGAATATTTCAAAAAAGGAAATCTTTTAATATGTCTGATTCTTGTCTCATGGCTTTAAAGGCCTGTTTAATTGGTTGTCTCTTGCCGTTACTAGACCATCATACTCCTATAAATACAAGGGCCAACATACAGTGCAAAGGCGGGAAAGACACACAAAAACTCTGCAGAAACGAAAAAACCATGAAGACGACAACACATACCTTGCCTCACAAAAGTACCAGCCTGCCCCACGAAAGTCTAGACTCCATTGCAGGCACCTTCCGTCCAAATCCAGGCATCTCCAGTGGTATAATGTTCAATCTCACTTAATCTTAAAATTACTCATAATTGCATATTCATAGTTTTTTGTTATTACTTGTGAGCAATTTAACAAAGCGTGTATAAGCTGCAGTGTTCATACGTTTGAACCCCCCATGGATAAAGTTTATTTCAAAGCAGGTTACATTTGAAATCCATGATCTTGGATGTGACAAATCGAAACCAACCCAGATCTGGGTTCAGGAATTGATTTCGAATGAGACGTTTCTCTATGTTGTTTAGTTCCGAATTGACTAATTTGCAGGGCCAAAAGCAGGAGTCATGTCTTTCGAATGAGAAAACAACTTAGGGGTGAAAGGGAATTCGCTCAATCGAAGGGACTAGGATCCAATATCACAGGCCTTATATTTTCAATTTCTAACAAACTTCCTTGCAGGTCCAACATCCCATGTCCCAAAAAACTTTGTTATGTTTTTCCTTCAGGCATTCAGGCGCAGCATCCCAAGCGTGGACCACCATACATCCTCAGATCTCAATGTGCCAAGTGGCTTCAAGCTAAATCCAAAGGCCAGAACCATTTATCTGCCATGGGTTCAAGTCAATGCAAGCATAGGCAATCTGGAGGGTCAACAAGGGCCAACGTTCTGGGCCTGGAAAAATTGCTGATCATACAACCTCTTCAGCCCCCCCCCCCCCCCCCTAAGTTTGCTTATATTTTATTTCTTTTCATTTTTTTATTACTTTTCATTATTATTATTAAAACTAATTAATTAACAAACTAACCTTTATTTTTTTCATAAAAAATCAGAAAATAACAAAAAATAATATTTATTAATTTCACTATTTTATTTTTGTAAATAAACCATTAATTAATTTATTTAGTTTAAATAGGTTTAATGATAATACATTTTGCAATAAATTAAAATTGATTTAGAATTAGGTTTTTTTATATTTTTACCATTCTCATTTTATTTCCTTAATTAAAATAAAACTAAAAAAAAACACTTTTTTATTAATTAATTAATTATTAGTTAGACTTAATTATTAAATCAAAAATGACAAAAATATGCTTTATTCAATAAAAGGGTCAAAACCCTAAAGGACATTCCGATTCAATTTTCTCGCGCCTTTTGTTTTGATCCATATATTGTAATTGCTCCGAGGATGTAATAGTTTAACTAAGACTTTTACACTTTACTGCTTTATCCCCCCAATTTTGGACATGTAAATAATCCCCCTCCCCGAAGCCTTGTAATAGCATAGGATTTACAATTCCCGCACTTTAAATTCATGTACATATATTAACTGTTTAGATGTATGCTAACTAGGATTGCATGACAAGATCTGAAAACAAACGGTAGAACACCTAAATGTACAAAGATAATATAAACTGAAAAACAATACACTCTCACATGCTACTCTTAGGGTACACCTCACTTGGTTGCCTCGAACGTGGTCATTGAGTATAGGAAGTCTTAGAGGTCGCCCTCTTGTCCATAGATCAAAGTTGCCTCGAAACGGTTGCCTCGATAAAAATGATCTAAGACATTAGGGTTACCGCTAAGGCGTCCTAATATTGCTTTAGTGGCCACACGTCCCTTAATCGAATTGACCCGAAAACTCCAACGACGGTGCTACCTACTCCTTAATGGTGGGATAGCTCTGTCTAAAGGACATTTGCACAGTTTAATTCCTTTTTGAGTAGGTAGAGGTTCTTAAGTACTTGCTCCTTTTAAAACAAAACAAAACTTTTCGCACTTACACTCTCTTTCAAACAAAAAACTCTTTTCAAACCCACAAACACAAAGAAAAGCAAACTTTTGAAAACATAGTGAGCAAGTACCTAAGAGCCCGTGGATAACCACGGATAGAAAGGGTGCTAACACTTTCCCTTTCTATAATCTACCTCCTGAACCCGAGAAACATCTCAAAAAGGAATTTTTCTGTGCTTTTGTCATTTCCTTGTTGGATAAAATAAAAGACGGTGGCGACTCTTGGTTACCGCGACATTTTGCGAAAACAAACGCAAACGCGAACCAGCATTCCAAAACAGTCAGTTCTATTCCCACCGATCACACCCTAGATTCAAGGTGAGTTTTTGTTATATTCTATTAGAGTTTGTTGAATGAAGAAATTAGTTTAGAGTGGAGTGAATCAAGGTCGTAGATTAGAGGGGTTTAGTTGGTCCATCAATGGTGAGATGAGAGTTGGTTAGGTAGGTTGTTATGGCAGTTAGAAATTTGGATCAATATATTATTCAGTTAGGAGATAGTTTATAAACTGTTTTGAATCTGATTAGAAAATGTTGTGCTGACTTTCTTTGATTTAAGTTTAAATCTTTGATTTTGAAGCCTTTTATCCCCTGATTTTCTACTTTTCTATGATTTCCTTTTCTATGATTTCCCCCTATCATTCAATGCTAACCGATCTACGCTGGTTTCGTGTATGTAGGTATTTATGGCTGGGTCTGATATCTAGCAGATGGAACTATGTTGGAAGCTAGATTTGACGTTGCAAAGCTGCAGTTTTCTTTTATAGCTTCATTCTCGTCTTAATACTGTAACATGATGTAATACTTGAGGATGTAATGAATCTCCTAACTTTGATAGCTTTGTTAATTTGCATTGCATTTTCCAACTTGTAACATGACATTGTATCAGAAACTTTAAATGCAATGAACTTTGTATCGCGATGAAAACCTTGAATTTGCAATTTTCGAAGGATGGCATTCGAATAAAAACTTGATGAACCTTGAATAATGTGAACATGTATAAATTTGAGTGATCTTAAAGGGATTTTGATTTTTTTAATGAAATTCGATATCTTGAATGAGGCCTTGTTATTCGAATCCCACACTTTGTACTTGTTGGTTGTATTTCGAACAAACCACATGAGTGATTCTACCTTTTGAATCTATTCTTGAGAAAATTTAAATATGTTTGAACTAACAATTTTGTATTCCACACAAACTATAATCATGAGTTCTCTCGAACCAACCTCAAAAGAAATACTCCACCCTAATGAACTCATTCCATAATTCAATATTAAAATCCAAGTTAGCTTGAAAACAATCAAGAAATTGAAAAGATAACAAGGCCTTGATCATAAAGAATCCTCAAATTCCCACAATGTTATATACTTTCCATTTAATCAACAAAATATTTGGATGATTGATGAACCTTCATAGGAGAAACCCTCTAACTTTTTGGAACTTGAGTGTATATTTTTGGAGAAGGCATGAGATGTGGAGAGCAGTAAAACTCTAGCTCAAGGACCGTCAATTGCAATCATGATGAAATCTTGAGCACACAAGTAAACCCTAATAATGCACTTATTATTTGAGGAATTTTTGATGAAGACAAATTCGTATCTTGAGGAATTTTTCCAAAAAAAATGTTTGTGATGCTTATGATCCAAATTCCTAGTTTCATACCAATAATGATGAGAGTACTACTTGAATCAACTTTGAGTAAGGTAGAAACCTCAACTTATTGGGAAAATCCTAATACCGTGAGATTTTTGGTCCTATAACCATGGAATCGACGATATGCGTGAGATGTATAGGACGAGGGA